TCGCCCCAAAGGTGGCCTCGCACGCCTAGATCGGGTTTAAGCTGATTTTTAGGGTTTTCTTTTCCATTTCCATTCTTCTTCATGATGGTTTGATTGTTATGAGCTATTGGAGCAAATGGAAGGAAAGAGTTGGAGACTGAAGAATCATGTTTGTTCATCTAAATATTTGGAAGAGGTAAGCATTTTTAGTATTTTGGGATCTAAATTTGGGGTTTTTGGTGAAATTGAAATAGTGGGATAATGTTTGGTATCTTTTGCCTTGGTTTATGGCTTTGAGAAGATTTCTTGAGGATGTTTGCTTGTGGATCTCAAGTATTCATCATTTTGGAACTAGAGATGGGTTTGGAAACTAGGTTTAACCTAACCTAGCAAGGTGAGTTCAAGTTGCTTTGTGAAAACTATGTAAATGCCAAAATGTGTATTTTTGAGGTATTAACGAGTTTTATTTGATGTTTATCAAATTTGTTGAGTATTTGAGAAGCTTTGCATATTTAAATTGAATTAATAAATCTTGTAAAATGCTTATCTTTAGGTTTTTGGACATTCATATATATATATATATATATATATATATCAAGAATGTGTTCTTTAGATGATTTATCATACCAATGAAAATTATTTGAATATAAATGCATTTTGTTGTATTTGGTTTTATAAACCGTTTGGAAAATGCATGTTTTCATGTTATGAGGCATTATGGAAAAATAAGTATATGATTTCATTTGGAAAATGGTTTGTCTCAACCAATTACAGGTCTTTGAGTTAATCATGCAATTGGAGCATGTGTTTGTATAATCTTTGGGTAAATATGTTTTCCTTTTGATGACTTTTATTTTATAGTCAATGAATTTGTTGAGCATTTGACTAGGTTTTGACTTAAATGAGTCTTGGGGACATTTGTCCGATTTAATTTTCTCTATGTTGGGTGTTTGGAATTATATGCGGTTATTGCATATTTATTTGATATTACACATTTTGGGTGCGCTAGTCATTCATTTGTGTTGTGTAATTTTAGAATGTAATGCAATGGATCCATAGACGTAGGAGTCTGTTGGAATGGGTACTATTTCTTGTATTGTAGCTAAATACTTGAATCAGCGGAGGACTCAAGGTAAAGACTTGGATAGAGTTGAACTCGATGACCTTGTGATTCGTAGTGGGGGTGTCAAGGTAAAGACTTGGATAGAGTTGAACTTGATGATTGTGTAGTCCATATTGACTATAATTTCTAGTGAATAAGATGAATTTGGATTTGGGAGATCCCAAGGTAAAGACTTAGATAGAGTTGAACTTAGTGACTCCCCAAGCAAAAGACTCAGATAGAGTTGAGCTTGTTAACCAATTTGACTAAAAACGCGGATAAGGTATGCCAATGTTTGTTTATCCATACGTGATGCTTATAATTGTGACTTACTTATGTGTTTTGTCACGATCAATGGCAAATCGGGTCTCCCTCGCCATCTTATGATGTCTTACACCCTTTCAAAGGTAAACATGATCTAATTACACAAAGTGACTTGATTAAAGTTATGTCTTCCATTTTAAGTCTTATGTCTTTATTCTTGATTGTGTGAGTATCCGATTTTGGTTGCATTTAAATGGGTGTTTTGGTTAATGAGTTTTCATCAGGAAAATGGTGAGTTTCATAGAGATGTCGCTTTTACAATAAAGACATTCCATTTACGAACTTACAATTTAAATTAGTAGTCTTTCGATTTTACTGTTTTATGATTATGATGAAAACTGCTTCAGCTCAATAGACGTCAAGCCTAATTTTTTTTTCTTTGTCGGCATGTGCATCGGGTCCATTGGGAAATGGTACTAGAGACACTGTGATAAGATGAGTGCTAGATAGTTGACAAGAAGGATTTAGTTATCGTTGATGTCTTTTTCATCAGGGAAATGGTGAGTTTCAATGAACACTTGAGTTATGGTGTTCATGAAATACACATACCTTCAAAAGCTATTAATTACAGTTTAAGCACAATATACACACAACACTTGACTGCAGGTCAGTATAACAAAAACGATGAATGCTCAAGCTTGCATTTTTTGCCCCTAAAGACATTTTCATGTTGCTCTATGTATACAATTGATGGAGATTACCACATTTTTAGAAAGACAAAGAAGTCAAACACTTATTCTGATTCCTCTTTTTAACTTCTCTAACTATTTTATACTTAACTGGAAGAGAAATTCTCAAAATATTATGGTTGGATATCTTTAATTCCATTCTACTTCAGACAAAGAAACTGATCACACCAAGAGCCTAAGATATATATATATATATATATATCTATTGGTTTCCCTAGATAGATCTCAGTTACTAGTTTAACTTGTAGCTAGATGACAGTTAACATTGATGATTCTTGTCGTAACACATATATTTCAGTGTGTTTTTATGCCATGTATATTAGTAATTTGTAAGTGAATTTGGGTCCTTTCCATGCTCATCCCTAAGGTAAGTGACACCCGGTAAGCGTTTTGGTAAATGACCCCTTATTCTAACCACATCAATTCAGTGTTCATTTCCTAATTCAGCGTTTGGTAAGCTTCAATTTAAGCAGACTTTAATTTGCCACATGAATTGCACCATATGCCTTTGTGATTGGTGACTTTTGAGAAAGTAATCATTTGGTTACTTTTAAAGGTGACTTTTGAGAAAGTATACATTATGATATCAATATTCTGAAGTGTATTATAATACTAATTTTCAAAGTACATGAAACCCTTTTGTTTTGATGTTTCAACTTAAGACTTATGTTTTCAAATTACTGTTTTATGATTATGATGAAAACTATTTGAGCTCAATAGACGTCAAGCCTAATATTTTTTTTTCTTTGTCGGCATGTGCATCGGGTCCATTGGGAAATGGTACTAGAGACACCGTGATAAGATGAGTGCTAGATAGTTGTACAAGAAGGATTTAGTTATTGTTGATGTCTTTTGCATTTGGAGAGAGCGACAGTTATTAGGTTATAATAACACATATCTTTAGCTTAGTCTTTATGTAAGGATTTGTCTATCTTATGTTGGTGACTTTTTTAGATTTAATATTCGAGGTAATTCAAGTATTGATTAATAAAAAAGGGATTTACCCCTTTATTTGTTGTATTAATAAAAAATTTAAATTAGTCATTTTTTTTCCAAATTTTAGGGTGTTACAAGAAAGAACTCAAACTTGAGTTCACTTGAAACATAGTTTCATATAATTCCTTGAGGCCCGTACCTTTGGGATGTAACTTTAGGAGGTTTGTACACACCATAAAATCAATTTGTTGTCAGCTATTTTATAGGGGTAGTGACTCACTGAAAGTATCGTTGGAAGCACCCCTTCGAACTTTTATCGAAGTGGTTTAATTTGAATCAAGCTCTCAGGTGACAACTTATTAAGAGTGCCTCCAGGGTCACCCTTGTCATACCATGCACCCCTGATTTCACTTGTGGGAACATTCTCAACTGGTTCTCTTTGCAGTTCCTCTGATTGCCGATCCGAAATCTGGTCTGGACACTTGGGTATCCTAAAAGACTTCTTGTTGTGGCTCGATCACGACGAAGAGGGTTTTACCTTCGACCTTGTGAGGAAAATTCTAGTGTCTTCTCACGAATGGACTTTTTTTATTGAAAATAAACTGAATGGATAATATGGTAGTTGTGGTTGTCACTGTGTAAAACCCTAAATTGATGACCGATGGTTGTCGTAGATGTTGTTGAGGTAGTTTTTGACAGCCGCTATCATATTAGTCAGAGTTATGGTGGTAACAGTTGTAGTCATCTCTGTCATATCTGCTTTGGTAGCGGGTTGCTAAAAAGGGACAAGAGAAATCATGCTCTGATACCAACTGACACAGTAGGAAGTGCAAAAAAGTATCGGAAGTGCAAAAGGTATCGAAAAGCGTCAAAATCCAAAAGGATAGTGACTCTACAATTGTAGAATTCGGAATATAAGAGAAAACTCTTATAAAACTAGAGATTAAACTCTTAAGAAAATTTTATTAATCAATGATAAACTGATTCGAAAGAGAGAACAATAAACCCTGTTTATAAGCTAAACTAGCCCGTATATAACAATGGAAATAAAATCAAACCTAAACTAATCTTAAACCAACTAGGAAATCTTTTACATAATAATTAAAAAGAAACTAATTAATAATGATAATCTCAATCTAATTAAGAATTAAGCAAATTAATTAAAAAAGAAACTAGAGTAATTAGGAAGCATTAGCCGCATGTAGGGGACTAGCTAGCCGCACAGTTGATCGCGGGATCGTTTATCTCGTCCTCCAAAGAGTTGGGAGACCTTGGCAACATAGAAGCACAGTTGCCCCTGAACTTAATGGATAGACCCAACGGTTGTTAAGCAAATCACATGAAAATTATCACGACACTACATGCATGGACCTACTCTTTGGGGTATGGTTGCCGGATAAAACTGTAGGATTAAGTACAAATTTTTTAAGGTATATAAGTGTGAAGCCATAATTTTTTTTAGAGTGAAACCATAAGACTTTTTGGGTTGAAACCATAAACATTAAAGCTTTTAGGGAGTTTAAATGAAAAAGTAAGAAATAAACCCAGATGGTATTGGAAATTAGTTACGTTTTTATCCAATTCCTATACTTTAGGAGTTTTAATCTACTTCTTTTTTTTTTCAATTTTTTTTTATATCCTTATCATATTAACTAATCAAATAAAGAGGCAAAGTGGCATGATATATATGACTTCTAAAAYCCAAGCAAAAACGCAAGTAATAACTATCAAGTTAGAGATTAAAATGTTCTTTTATGTCATTTTATTTGTTATGTAGCTTTCTTTTTAGCTGGTTTTTCAACGACAACGGCTACCTTTTCAGCTAATAGCTATTTTTGAGTCACCCACCAGTTTATCAAATATAGCCGAAGTACACATTTTCTCTACAAATATACATATCTTTTCGACACTTAATATATATATATATATGCTATATATAGTGACTTATATTCAACCATGACAAAGTTTCATCTCTAAATTTTGCTATTTTGTATTAGAACACTGTACTTGAAATTAGAAAACATAACTATTTTTCTCAGGTTAATCTGTTATACATATAAAAAAAATCTTGGTCTATTCCTTTAATATGCTCCTCATACTCCTCCAAGATTGTGAGTATCCTTGATTCTGAATCCACCTCATTGCAKATTTCAAAACATAATTCTGCAATAAGACGCAAGGACTTTTTTCCTTGTTTTATCAAATAATCATCAATACTCCACAAATCTATATAATCAGAGATTTTTGTCCCTATTAGCACCTCCACGAATACCACTGTAAAGCCAGAGACATCGTCTTCTAATTCAATGGGACTGGGCTCTGAAAAAGGATCCTTATTTAGAAGTATGCAGTTGCATGACCACAAGAAAAACTACCATTCGGATGGAAATGGGAATGGGAAATTCATTTTTTCTTGGTGGGAAGGGGGGGGGGATCGGAGGAGGTATGAAAGATGGGTTGAAGTAACTTACCGCACCCAGGATAATATTCTCCTTGAACGAGTTTAATGTGTTTGTGCATATAAGGTGCAAAATCATAAGTAGTCTTGAAATTTGAAAGCTTTGCCGTAAAATCCTGCAATTGTATATTTCGTGCATTGAGGTAAAGCCAACAAGACGTATCAAAACAGTAATACAAAAATATATTACTAGTGAAATATGCTATTCTAGCTACTGTATTTTCAAATTTTATGAGGGCGAGCGGTTTTACGCTAGATACCTGTTGTTAACATAGACTGTTTAAATGACATATGAACTTCAAAAGACAGACAACAACTTGGTAATCAAAGAAGAAAACGCATATATCCTTGAAGACAGTTTAGAGGAAGGGTAAAGGCTTTGTAAATCATTACATACAGTGACTTTTTTATCAGCTAAAAGACACAAATGAGACAATATATTATCGTCCATATTTTTTTATATGGGGTTCACTGGAAAGTGGAAATGATGAATCATACTCAAGTTATGAATCTTCAATGTGGTTGGGACTTTTGTTTAGTTTAGTAAGTTTTTCTTTTGTTCCACTTAGGACCAAAATGAAACCTGGAGTGGGTATATAAGTGACAGTTTCATCGGTTCACTACAACAAAATTGATTTTTATGACGCCTAAAACCTAGAAGCGTCGTATGAAGATACATTATACGATTTAAGTTTATATGACCAAACCAAAAAGCGTCATATCTAAAAGTATTACAATAGAATTGTAGGATGCTTTAAGGTGTTTTAACAATCTTTTTAGGACACTTTTAAATAAAGTGTCATATTAACTATTTTATATGACACTATTTGGAAAGACATTATATAAAAAGATGGGCTTATGTGATACTTCTCAAAAATTTCCTATAAAATAGCATATATGATACTTTATTTTAAAAGTGTCCTAAAAAGATTGTTAAAACGTCTAAAAGCGTCCTATAAACCTATTGAAACGCTTTTAGATTGGATATTTTATAGTTTGGTCCTATAAATCTAACTTCTATAAATTATTCAATTAGGAAGCTTAGACATTCTAGTCATCCTATAAAATCAATTATATTGTAGTGGATGTAGCAAAGAAAAAACAACCATTTGAAAAGTCGCCCATGACCGTGACAGTTTGGGAAGATGTCGCCAGAGGAAAAAAAAAACCCTTTCAACAGTCACCTTTAGTGACAGTTTGCACGGATGTTGCAAAAGGAAAAAAGGCGACCCTTTTATATGTCAGTTTATGGTGACAATTTGACAGATATCGCTAATGTGACGTTTGAAGAGTCACCAATTTTCTTTGAGAGTTTTAACTGTCACTAAATATACAACATCCTTTTTGCTGTCAATATACATAAAAATACTCTCTTTTCTCTCATACATTTATAGGCTTCTTCAAATCATTGATAATTAACTCACTAATTCATCCGGGATTATCAACAACCGTGCATTATTGATAATTGATATGCAAAGCAGCAAAAGGCTGCTTCATTGTATCTTGACAATCGATTTGCCAAGAACCCAAAGCATAGTGGTGGATCCAAGAATTTTATAGACCGAGTCCCATGGAAAATTCTACGGGAGGGAGTGAAGGTAAGTTATGTAAAAAATAAATTTTAGCCCAGATAATGTTTTTTAACTTTTTGAGTGGGGTCCCTACCCCCCCCCCCGACTTTATATGCTGTCTCCGCCCCTGGAAAAGCACATACAGTGGGGCGAAATTGCTTTAAAAATTAAGAGTTTACTCGTCTTGAAAGTTATAAGTAGTATATTTTTCGTATCGATTCTAGTCCTTAGTTTAGTACCCAAAAAACCAACACAATGTATATATAATGAAAAAGCTCAGATATACCTTTGCATCCAACATTATCTTAGATCTGTGAAGCTGATACTCACTGATTGTTTCTATCCTCAGGTCATCAGTCTGTGGTTTTGAGGACCCTGAGAGAGTGATCTTTGTTTAGATGTTTGTAATTGCACATATAATAACAAACCAAATTATATATCACAATGATAGGGATGGATAATTTGTATGAAGGTATGGGGAAGAGGATGAAGTAACTTACGCTTAGAGTCACTAGCTCCAGCATAGTCTTTAAAACCCTGCAAATTAATATTATGTGCAAGTAGGTAAAACCAACAAGGGGTGTCAAAAATGTAACATGAAAATAGCATACAACTCATATAATGTTGTTTTTGAATCGCAGGGAATCACCCACTTAGATTTGCTCAAGCTGTTGAGACATACTCGTAAATATGAAGATTTAGTTCAACAATGTCCAAAAAGAATTGCATCCACGCTAATATAAGACAATACGTTAACATTATAGTTCTTTGTATATGGGTTCAGTGAAAAGTGAAACAAATTAATCATACTAGATTATGAATTCTTAATAACATGGCAAAATATCAAGCTGATCAGATTGTACCTCACTGACTAGTCTTCCCGGATACATGTTGTCAAGGATTTCACGTTGTTTCTTTTTCAAGAAAACCATCCCTCGAGCAATTCCTACTGCTATTTTCACCCTCGTAACCAATGGAAGCCTCCTTAGAGATCCTACAACAACCGATGAAAATCAAATTCTCGGGTTGAACTGATTTATGTATAGAGTTGTTAATTTTGTTAATTAATTACCCACTCGCAGGCAATCCAAGAAGTTTTCGTAAGCCATGAGTTCATAAACAAGGAAGACTTGGTCGAATTTAACGCAGCATCCTATGAGCTTAACAAGGTTGGGATGATTCAGTTCTATTAAGACATCTAAATCCAACTGCATTCAAAAGTGATCATGTTTTATAACTCTGCTGATTTCCATGAAAGAGATGTATTTAACAGTATTATATGTATGAGTTGTCTTTCCATACAGCTTTGAAGAGTCAATCCACATTTTCATGCTAATAAGCCACAATAGATAGGGTAAAATATACTATTTATTGTACTCAACTTTTTTAAAACTTTCATGGTTGTCGTTACGAAATCTCTGAACTGCAATGGGCAATCCAGCTTCATCCGAACCTTCGAATACATCTGAAACATCGTCGTAGACCAAGACTGCATCAATTCCAAAGCTCCTCGTAGCACATTCCAATTCAACATACGTGAACTTCTTTAGATATGTAGCCACTTTCATTGTTTCACCCTGATTGCTTTCATCCTTGTTAATTGAAGAGGGAAGATTCATGTGGTTCTCAAGGCTCTTTTGAGAACTAGTACTGCCACTTTGATCTTAGAAAATAGAGAAAATAGGACAAAAGATAACAAAGTTAGAAATTTTACTCAAAAGATGGCAAGTGAAAAAACATTGCTCACATATCTGCCCACACGAGACACTTGATGGACATCTCTTGCATTCTCTTTTAAAAAATCAAATATATATGTCCATGGAAGTAGTTTCATGACTATGCATCATTGTTTAACTTGTGAGCAGAGGAATATAGACAAAGAATCTATGACGTTATTTGACTTCCCCAAACTGGAAAAACCTCTTGCGAACACATAATTTAACATGTGAACTCTCAATAGTCGATCACTTGGAAGCCTAAAATGTTGATGAAAATAAGTAAAACAAATGTATTTTAAATTTTTTTTAAAAATCAAAACGATGGATGCACAAGTTAAACATGCATCCAGGTATCATGCAATCAGTTCAGTTATATGAGTGCTTGATAGTTTTGTCTGATAATNTATCATGCAATCAGTTCAGTTATATGAGTGCTTGATAGTTTTGTCTGATAATTAACACAAATATATGCAAATACAAGACTGATGAAAAGTTTGAGCATACCAGAGTTTTGTTTAGCAGTGGGAACAAGATACTTATGAATCTTCCAAGTGAACCGCACTTTGCCTGATGATTTAGCTGAATTGTCATGTTTCACTTGTAGTTCCAGCAAAAGCTGAAGTGAGGCCACAACCTCAGTCATGGAAGGGCGTTCTTTCAGAACACTATGCACACAACGGTATGCAATTTGAGCATATCGTGTTAAGCATTTGGCAAAAATTGTTCCCCTGATATTATAATCAACCAATTGATATAGTTTTCGATCCTTCACACATTTTTGAGCCCACCTTACTAAACTACATTGCTCTTCTCCGTAACGTGCGTCCACTGCACACCTTCCTGATAGCAATTCAAATAATACCACCCCAAATGCAAACACATCTGTTTTCCTTGTCACCCTTCTGGTATAGAAATACTCCGGATCCAGATACCCGAATGTGCCTTTGACACTGACACTAATATCAAAATCTGAAAATGATTGATTAGTTGGGCCTACCTTGGACAACCCAAAATCCGAAATCATAGCTGCCCAGTTCTCATCCAAAAGAATGTTTGAGCTTTTAATATCACGATGTATGACTCCATGTTGGGTGCCAACACCAGTGTGAAGATAGTCCAATCCACGCGCAGCACCTAAGGCTATCTTTAGTCTTTGCACCCAATTTAAAGGAGTATCAGCTTTGTGTAGATGATGGTCTAAAGTTCCATTGGGCATATACTCATAGACAAGGATCATCTCCTTGTTATCATCACAAAAACCAATCAGAGACACCAAGTGACAGTGGCGCAACTTAGAAAGCATCTCAATTTCGGTTCTAAACTCAAGTGCCCCTTGGTCGGACATAGAATCCAATCGTTTGAAGGCCACAACATGACTAGTTTCTCCTATACAAATAGAGCCCTTGTACACCTTTCCARAACCTCCCCTTCCGATGACCACTTCATCATCAAAATTATTGGTTGCAGAGTGAATCTCATCAAGAGAAAAATGATAGCATACATGTRTTGAAGTTAATGATGAGAATTTGYYRGCCTCACCAGTAGTAGAARACATAATCTTGGCAAGTTATCGAGATATGTCCTGCACAACATATAAGTCTTTGCCTCTTAAAAGCAAATGAAAAACAGAAGTAGGAACTGCAGAAGATGATTACTGCGTTGTTTAATCAAGAGCAAATTACAAATTTAGTCCCTGTGGTTATATAGGAATTATGGATCAGGTCCCAAAACAAAATAATTACAAGGATCTTCCTTGTGGTTTCAATTTCGTTATTAATTGGCTCCGTGGAACCCCGCTAGGGGTGCTGCCTCTAGGATCCCGCAAGGGGGCATGACCCCTTAACCCCCATTTCAAGACGATCTAAGGTGATAAAGTAAATATTTGTGAGTGTACACTCCGCACATCCTAACTCACTTTTGTTTACTTTACCACTTTAATCAATCTTAATTAAATCACAATTACACCAAATGGTTGATGACACTAAAATCACCAGCATTCCTCATCCATCTTAGTGTAATCTTTTGATTATGATGTGGGCTTGGGCGTGATCCCAACTCAAAACATAAATACATAAAATCAAACTGGTGCATAAATAAAAATGTCATGAAGATTGAATTTTCATCTTAGCATTTACACATTCCAAATACTCCAGTTTGGTTTTGGTTGATGTCTCATGAATCAGGGTTAAGGCCATATCAGATCTGGATATTTAAACTACGTATCAGATTTTGGTTTTTTAGACCAAATCTTTAGTGGTTAGCTTCGATGGAGATGGAAGATCACAACGRTGRACRTGGTTTTTCAAGTTTWTGGTGGTTGATGGTGTATGAAGGAGGGAGGATGAATGGTGAGCGGGGACATTGAGATGGCTTGAGTGGCAGGTTGTGGTGGCCACAGTTGAGGAAAGTGGGATGGTGCCGGAGAGAAAGGGGACTGCCAGACCAGGAATGTCCGATGAGACCTGCACGAGGAAGAGGGAGGGGGCATTGTATTGCTACAATGCGGTGTTTTATATTATATTAAATAGTAATATCAGATATTATTAATTTAGTTTTTATTAAAATGACCAAAGCACCCTTGATTTAACGGAACTTAGGTAAACAACTCTTAAGAAAAAAGATCCAATCCATAATAAAAGTAAAACTAGAGTGATCATATATGTAATTATTTTGTTTGAAGGACCTAATCCAACTTTGCATATAACCTTAGGGATGAAGTTTGTAATTTACTCTTTAATTAATTAAGCTCCAATTTTCAAATCTAGATACATTGGACTTGGGTGATGCGTTCACAAGAGAAGACAACAACCACGGATTTTATAATTAATTTTTCCAACGACTTTATCATTAAGAGAACGACCACGGATTTTAGAATTAATTTTTCAATTATCGTTGTACCTAACAATCTTGAATTTCATATTATAACTTTATTGCTATGACTACGTGGTTGTTTTTAAGAGGTTTTTCAAAAAAGAAAAACTTTTTTTAAGGTTTTTTATATGGTGGAGAAGTTTTTTATTTGAGGTTTTTCATCGTATGACCACTTTTTTGGAGGTTTTTGTATTTATTTAGTTTTTAACTTTATAGAATTTTATAGAAGTTTCGTATTTAATCAATTTTATTTACTAATTAGTTTTATTTATCAATATATTTAAAGTAATCACATTTAAATAAAACTATTAAATATATAATATAAAATAAATACATAATTAAAGTAATTACATTTTTTATATATTTAAATTAATATCTCAAATATGACATTTTTTTATATAGTTTTTACAGATTTCTTAATAACCCAATTTTTACTTTTTAGTATACATATTTTTTAAATCAACTTTATTTAATTTTTAAATTTAACCTTTTTATAATTTTTATTATACAAGCTTGATTTATTGTAGATCTTAAGTATATGCTCATTTGGTGGTTCATTTCTAGACTTACGAAAATGGCTGGTTTGGAAACCTTAGATCATTGTTGAAGATGACTTGAAGACGGGGAGATCTTCATCAATTGAAGCTAAAGTTCGGAGTTTGGAACATATGTTTAACTTAATCTAGCAATGTGAGTTTAAATTGTTTTATGAAAACTATGTACATGCCAAAATATTCATTTTGAAGTCTTAGATATTTTCTTGATATTTATCAATTGGGTTGATGTGATAACTGAATTTTATGGTAGTGGCAGTTGAGGTAATCCTTATATGATTATTATGTGAATATGTACATATTTTTATGAAATTGATAATATGCATGTGTATTATTGTGCATACATGAGAATTATTAAAATATATGTGTATGCATGGGTGAGGAGGAGGATAGGTTTATAATATTAAAACATCCACCACTTCTTATGAGTTTTAAAATATTAAATTTGCACCGCCCTGATAAAATATATATAAGTGGGATAAGATCTATCTTATCCTACTTATCTTGTTGAAAAGAAAAGACAGTGGCGGTGAGAGTGTGTGTATGTTCTTAAGAATGAGGTTCTGCTTAAAAGTTACTACTTAAGACTATTTGAAGAAGTGCTATTTGAAGTTGTTGCTGTGTGATTCATCTTCAAAATACGTGCTTATAAGATGAGTTTTGCTATTAAAATTCTTATACATTGATATTTGAAATACATGGATTTTGGTTGATAATTTTATGGAAGAAAGGAAGTTGTTTTGACAGTTGATTGAATATGAGTAAGCTGGGTTTAAAACTGTTTTGATGATACAAAGAAAAATTTGTTTCTTTCAAAACAGTTGAGATGAGTATTCGATTTTGATAGAATAAGGATTTTGAGATTCAAAATTGGATTAAAGAACTAATGGTTCTTAAGTTCCAAAGTTTTGAAATTGTTGTTGGCTAAAAAAACCTACAGATGATGTTCCTTCAGGACGGTTGTGACTTCAGTATGTTCTGATTGGAAATAATGTTTTTATGGGACGGTTGTGATTTCGATCTGTTCTAGTACGAAAGTCTTCATCTCTGTAGATTTTGGTTAAGAAATAAGGGTGACATATCAATGAGAGGTGTACCATGGGATAAGGGTGATATATCAAGAAAAGGTGTACCTTTGGATATAAGGGTGACATTTGTTTGTGTGGTTATTATCATAGTTCTTGCTGTTATATCCATAAGATTGCAATGGTTGAGTCAACATTTCTTTGTGACTTGAAGACTTAGAAATATTGCTCTTAATGAAATAATAGCAATTATGCTATTGAGAAGGGAAAAATGGCTTATAGCCAGAGGTTTTTAATCACATGTGCTTTTGATTAAAAATGTTGAGAAAAATTATGTGGAACCAGAGGGGCTCTGGCTGTTCTTATAACCTGGAACAGAGGAATTTTGGGTTGATCTTCAGGATCAACCAAAAGACCTCTGGTTATGATAAAAATTATCGATTTTTGCTTTTCAAACTTTTATTTAGAACCAGATGTTTTGTATGTGCTACGCAGAGGCTCTGTATTTGACATTAGAAATTTGTCAACTTATAAAACTATTTTTATACTTCTTTCTCTTATTCAAACTTATGAACCATAACATGAAAATCCTTTGGTAAAGTAAGTCAGAGGAGCTCTGGTTGACGCTCATGTTGAACTAGAGGACGTCTGGTCATATGAGGAATTCGAAAATGGTTAAGTTTGATAATTCTTTATCTCTTGATAGATGAATCAGAGGAGCTCTGGTTGTTAAGACCAGAAGCTCTAATTGTTGGACTAGAGGGTCTTTATTTTATCTTAAGTTGTGTATTTGTGTAAACTTGATTCTAAGAAGGGCTCTGGTTAGTAAGACCAGAAGCTATGGTCATTGAAACTGTTCCTTAGGCAGTTCTGGTCTTTGGAATCAGAAGGGAACTTGGAGTTTGACCAGTTAAACCAGAGGAGTTTACACTATATTTTATACGCAATATAAATTTCTGAGATCATGATTCTGTTTATATGAAAAGTTGATTTTAAATAAGTTTTGGTGATCTTCACCCTGCAATTATAAAGAAAAAGGGATATCTCACTAGACCTTCAACTCTAACCCTTATTTTGTATTTTAAAATGTGCATTGCACGAACAACATGGTTACAGGATAGTAAAGGGAAGGAAAAAAATGTGATTATTTTCCTATATGCTTAACTATGTGAAAATCAACTTGTGGATGGATGTAATTTGAAGATACATGTTATGATACATGTGATAGTGCAAGAATTTGATTTGGAAATTTTGGATTGTGATTTTGTACATAAGTTTCTTGTACTAGTAGACCTATGTGGTGTAATATATTTCTTTTGAATGAATTATATCTTTATATGCAATGTGTGAAGTGGGGTGTTACAGTTGATTATTTGATGAAATTTGCATCTTGAGTATATTTGGTTTTATAAATCATGTAAAATGTCTATATTTAGGTTTTTGGACATTTTGATGAATAAGTCATAAGTGTGGGTTCTTTTGATGATTTATATTATAAATTGATATTATTTTGTTTTAATTCATTTTAGTGTATTTGGTTTGGAAAATGCATATTGATTACGTTATGGGACATTTTGAAGATGTAAATGGTATGATTTCAATTGTAAAATGGTTTGTCGCAATCATTTAGGTGTTTTTGAGTTGGTCATGCCTTTTAGAGCATGTGTTTGCATAAACATTTAAATACATATTTATTGCTTATGATGACTTTAGTTTAGTAGTCGATTGAGTTGTTGAGCTTTTAGCTCGGTTTTAACTCAGATGGGGTCTTGGGGACATTTGTTCGATTGCCCCATGTCGAGCTTTAAGAGTTTTGTGTAGTTATGGCATATTTATTTGTATATTACATGTTTTGAGTGCATTGGTCATTCATTTGGGGTCATATAATTTATATTGTAATGCATTGATCCATAGGCATGTGAGTTAGTTTTGGGTTAAGTGGTTTTGTCGGTATTACGGGGTTGGAATCTAGGACTGTCTGTATTGCAGGGTTGGACTCCGAGACCATGGATATTGCAGGGTTGGACTTCGGGACGTAGAATAGGCACTAAGATTGTCAACTCTTGAGGTGCTACCTGAAGTGATAGACACTAAAAACTCTGACGCTTGAGATGTTA